TCCGCTATAGCCAAGCACCTTTACACCTTCTTCCACCACCTCTTTCACCCGTCCACCATAGCCAAGCACCTTCACTCCTTCCACCTCCATCTCCTTCACCCATCCACCATAGCCAAGCACCTTCACACCTTCTTCCACCTCCACCTACTTCATCCATCCACCATAGCCAAACACTTTCACACCTTCTTCCACCTCCATCTCCTTCACCTATCCACCATAGCCAAGCACCTTCACACCTTCCACCTCCACCTCCACCCGTCCACCATAGCCAAGCACCTTCACTCCTTCCACCTCCATCTCCTTCACCCATCCACCATAGCCAAGCACCTTCACCCCTTCTTTTGCCTCCACCTCCTGCACTCGTCGACCATAGTCAAGCACCTTCACTCCTTCCACCTCCATCTCCTTCATTCATCCACCATAGTCAAGCACCTTCACACCGTCTTCCACCTCCACCTCCTTCACCCGTCCACCATACCCAAGCACCTTCACTCCTTCCACCTCCATCTCCCTCACCCATCCGCCTTCATGCCTTCTTCCATTTGCACCTCCTTCACCCGTCCACCATAGCCAAGCACCTTCATTCCTTCTTCCACCTCCATCTCCTTCACTCATCTGCCATAGCCAAGCACTTGCACACCTTCTCCCACCTCCATGTCCTTCACCCATCCACCATAGCCAAGCACCTTCACACCTTCTTCCAACTCCACCTCCTTCACCCATCCACCATAGTCAAGCACTTTCACACCTTTTCCTACCTCCACCTCCTTCACCCAGCCACCATAGCCAAACATCTTCACACCCTCTTCCACCTCCACCTCCTTCACCCATCCACCGTAGCCAAACACCTTCACACCTTCATCCATCCACCATAGCCAAGTACCTTCACACCTTCTTCCACCTCCACCTCCTTCACCCATCCACCATAGCCAAGCACCATCACACCTTCTTCCACCTCCACCTCCTTCACCCATNGTACCTTCACACCTTCTTCCACCTCCACCTCCTTCACCCATCCACCATAGCCAAGCACCATCACACCTTCTTCCACCTCCACCTCCTTCACCCATCCACCATAGCCAAGCATCTTCGCGCCTTCCACCACCACCTCTTTCACCCACCCACCATAGCCAGGTACCTTCACACCTTCTTCCACCTCCACCTCCTTCACCCGACCGCCATAGCCAAGTACCTTCACACCCTCTTCTGATTCCACCTCCACCCGCCCGCCATATCCAAGTACCTTCCCACCTTCCTCCTCCACCTTTACCAACCAATGCTGTGATCCAAAGTATATAGGGCAGCAAAACGTTGAAGGGGTCATAGGTAGATGGGACTAGTAGAGGGTAAGTTTGGATTAAGGGGGTTTCTCTCTCTCTCTCTCTCTCTCTCTCTCTCTCTCTCTCTCTCTCTCTCTCTCTCTCTCTCT